GCTGCAATTCAAAACACACCCAAAGAACCCAGGACCTGAGTCATCTAATAGGTCCATCTTGTCCAGAGTTTGGAAATGAGCCCTGCATGCTCCAGACAATGGGACATTTGGGGACCAGAAGTCCAAAACAGTAACATCTACTAAGTGCAGCCTTCCGTGTCTCATAGTGGCCAACCAAAAACCCATGGGAAGCTCCCATGCAGAACCCAAAGGCAAAAATAGCCTCCATCCGTTGCTCCCCACATCCACTGGCATGAATCCATCCCAACGGCTTGCCATTAATAGCACATCCTCCTTGAATTGAGGAACATGGGGCTGCTTTTAAGGCATTTGTGGATGGGCCAAAACGCTATTGAGTTGGTTGTTGTTTTTTTTTGCCTTCTTGCAAGTCCTTGCAGGTGGAAATCAAAGTGCCTTTAAGGATAATATTCTTAAATCTGAAGAAACTTACAATAATAGCATGTACTTATAAGTGTCCCCGTCTGTTTGGTGTCACTTATTCTGAAGGAAGGGAGCAACAAATAAGTTGCACACAGTCATTCCTATTCTTTGGAGGATCAACATCTTAATATTTCTTAGTGCTTGATCATTTATTGAAACTATTTTGGGTACCCGGTGTTGCCCGGGTTATTTGAAAAAGTCTATTTTTTAATTGTACCAAATGCATAAAGTTATAGGTGAACTACAACTCACATCATGCCAGGTTAACCCCGAAAAACTTCATCAGTACTTCAAGTTTGTTATATTGGGCAACTTTGCTCTCAATGCATCATTGGTTGGGTTCAGTGTGCTCTCTGTCTGTAGGGTAAACTACAACTCCCACTATGGTGAGTCAGGCCCCTCAGACCCCTTCAGTAGGTTGAGTTAGTCTTGGGGGTTCTGTATGCCAAGTTTGGTCCAGGTCCATCATTGGTGGAGGTCACAGTTTATCCGGTTGTGGGTGAACTACAACTCCCAGAAAGGAAAGTCAGTTCCTCCCAAACCCCTCTAGTAATCAAATGTTGGCATATAAGGTACGTGTGCCAAGTTTGGTCCAGATCCATCTGTGTTTGGGTTCACAGTGCTCTCTGGATGTAGGTGAACTACAACTTCCCCTAAATCAAGTTGAATTTTCCCCCAAAGAACTCCAGCAGTTTTTGCTGGTTATGGGGCTGTTAGGAATTGTGGGAGTTGAAGTCCAAAACACCTGGAGGGCCAAAGTTTGCCCATGCACGATCTACATGGTAGAATTAATGCAGTTTGACACCACTTTGGTTGCCATGTCTGGTGCATCACTAAACAACAAATCCCAGGACTCCATAGCATTGGCAGTTCAAGTGGCATCCATCAAACTGCATTAATTCTACCATGTAGATCATGCATGGGCAAACTTCAGCCCTCCAGGTGTTTTGGACTTCAACTCGCACAATTCCTAACAGCTGGTAGGCTTTTAGGAATTGTGGGAGTTGGAGTCTAAAACACCTGGAGGGCCAAAGTTTGCCCAAGCCTGGTGTAGGCTGTTAGGAAAATTTAGGCTGTTAGGAATTGTGGGAGTTGGAGACCAAAACACCTGGAGGACCAAAGTTTGCACATAATAAAGATGAAAATATGTTTGTGTATCAAACTGCATTAATTCAACAGTGTAGATGCACACACCCCTCAATGGAGAGCTTCAAGAAGTACTTTCAGGTCTCTGATAAATAGATGGATTCCGCTTTATGATCTTGGCTCATTTGAACATTTTTATAAAAGCCCACATGGGGGTTCTGTGTGGGTGGTTTGGCCCAATTCTATCATTAGTAGGGTTCAGAATGCTCTGTGATTGTAGGTGAGCTATAAATCCCAGCAACTACAACTCCCAAATGTCAAGATTCTATTTTCCCCAAACTCCACCAGTGTTCACATTTGGGCACATTGAGTATTCGTGTAGAGTTTGGTCCAGATCCATCATTGTTTGAGTCCACAGTGATCTCTGGATGTAGGTGAACTACAACTCCAAAACCAAAGGACACTGCCCACCACACCCTTCCAGTATTTTCTGTTGGTCATGGGAGAACTGTGTGCCAAGTTTGGTTCAATTCCATCGTTGGTGGGGTTCAGAATGTTCTTTGATTGTAGGTGAACTGTAAATCCCAGCAACTACAACTCTCAAATGACAAAATCATTTTTTTGAGTGAAGGACATATATTGGGTTGTTAAGTGTCTTGTATCCAAAATTGGTGTCAATTCACCCAGTGGTTTTTGAGTTCTGTTAATCCCATGAAGTAGATAAGGACACACTGCTGTGAATAAGTAGTATTTTTCTGCCGTAGGGCGTCGTTCACACTTCAATGTTTGCCGCCTTCCCACCACTGCCTACATCTTTTGTCAATTATTTCCCATTATTTAAAAGACAGACCAAATTATGACAATTTTTCACTTTCTAAAGCGGAAATTCTTTGGTTTGCAACCACCGTCGCCTTACAAAGAAAGCATTGTGGCCATGAATCATTCCTTGACCTTTGATTTGCAGTGACTAATCCTTCTGAAAACATTGGAAATATTCTCTTGTCTTGGTAGCTATTGTACATGCTGGAAACTTCACCTTCGCATGCAATGTCAGTCATCTTAATCATTTTCTTCTCACTCTTCATCTCTCCAGAAATGTGTTCTCCTTCCTTCCTTTCAGCTCTCAATGGGGGGCCTTATGGCGCATCTCCATTGTATAATTAATGCACTTTGATGCCATTTGAACTGCCATGGCTCAATGTTCTGGCCTCAGGAGAGCTGTAGCTTTACAAGATATTTACCCTCCTTGGCCTTTGCTGGTGCCTCACCAAACTTCAAATACCAGGATTCATAGCACTGGGCCATGGCAATTCAAGTGGGGCCAAACTGCATTAAACCTATAGTGTAGATGTACCTATGGATGGGTCAGTTGCAGAGGCGGCCCTAGGTAATTTTCAATGGTAAGCAAACAGTATTTTGCCCCCTCCCCCCAACCAATCACAATATATATTCTGTTCGTCGTGGGAGTTCTGTGTGCCATATTTGGTTCAATTCCATCATTGGTGGAGTTCAGAATGCTCTTTGATTGTAGGTGAACTATACATCCCAGTAACTACGACTCGCATATGTCAAGGTCTATTTTCCCCCAAGAGCGCCTCAAGAGCGCCCCTGAGCAAAATCAACTATACTGCAAATGCTTACTTTGCGTAATGGGTTGAGCCGCCCCTGGTCAGTTGTTCCCAGCCAAATGTAAGATATGGAAATGTTGTTAAGACTCCAACTTCCAGAAGCCCACAACTGAAAAAATTAATATCTCCAAATTCAAGAAATAGGAACTATTTATTTATTCATTTATTTATTTACGCTATTTCTATCCCGCCTAGGTGACTATCTGCATCTATGGCAAGCATCCTCAGAGGTAGTGAGGTCTGTTGGAACAGTTATAACCTATCGGTTGCTGGTTGACCTACATTACCAGCTGCACATAATAATTATCATCATAAGGTTTCTCTTCAGCACACACACACACACACACGGTCTACAACTTACTGTAACTTGGTACGTATTAGAGTTGTGTGTGGATCCGTTTTCCTTCGTTACATCCATTCTTTTGGGTTGTTGTAGGTTTTTTCAGGCTATATGGCCATGTTCTAAAGGCATTCTCTCCTGACGTTTCGCCTGCATCTATGGTAAGCATCCTCAGAGGTAGTGAGGTCTGTTGGAATTAGGAAAGTGGGTTTATATATCTATGGAATGACCAGGGTGGGAGAAAGAACTCTTGTCTGCTGGAGCTAGGTGTGAATGTTTCAACTGACCACCTTGATTAGCATTGGATGGCCTGGCAGTGCCTGGGACAATCTTTTGTTGAGAGGTGATTAGGTGTCCTTGTTTGTTTACTCTCTGTTGTTTTGCTGTTGTAATTTTAGAGTTTTTAAATACTGGTAGCTAGATTTTGTTCATTTTCATGGTTTCCTCCTTTCTGTTGAAATTGTCCACATGCTTCTTGTGGATTTCAATGGCTTCTCTGTGTAGCCTGACATGGTGATTGTTGGTGTGGTCCAGCATTTCTGTGTTCTCAAATAATATGCTGTATCCAGGTTGGTTCATCAGGTGCTCTGCTATGGCTGATTTCTCTGGTTGGCGTAGTCTGCCGTGCCTTTCATGTTCTTTGATTCGTGTCTGGGCAATGCTGCTGCGTTTGGTGGTCCCTATGTAGACTTGTCCACAGCTGCATGGTACACGGTAGACTCCTGCAGAAGCGAGAGGATCCCTCTTGTCCTTTGCTGAATGTAGCATTTGTTGGATTTTCTTGGTGGGTCTGTAGATAGTTTGTATGTTGTGTTTCATCATCAGCTTCCCTATGCGGTCAGTGATTCCCTTGATGTCTGGCAAGAACCCTTTTCCTCTGGGTGGATCATCTTGACTGTCGTGGTTTGTTCTCGGTGGTCTTGCAGCTCTTTTGATGTCTGAGGTGGAGTCTCCATTGGCCTGGAGAGCCCAGTTTAGGTGGCTCAGTTCTTTGTCCCACCCTGGCTATTCCATAAATATATAAACCCACTTTCCTAGTTCCAACAGACCTCACTACCTCTGAGGATGCTTGCCATAGATGCAGGCGAAACGTCAGGAGAGAATGCCTCTAGAACATGGCCATATAGCCCGAAAAACCTACAACAACCCAGTGATTCCGGACATGAAAGCCTTCAACAATGCATTATTGTTATATCATCACTACCTCTGAGGATGCTTGACACAGATGCAGGTGAAACGTCAGGAGAGAATGCCTCTAGGACATGGCTATATAGCCCGAAAAACCTACAACAACCCAATCCTGTCTCTCCATCTCAAAGATGCCACCAGATCCTTTTGTGTTCCATCACAATGCCTTTGAGCACCTCTTGAAAATTGAAAAGCACTTAGAAAAGTTGACAATACATATCAATGGTTCCTATTCTTCCAACAATATGGTTCTTATGGCCTTCCAAGGAGCTCTAAGAAGGAGGAAAGTTTAAGAAGAGGAAAATCCCAGAACTCACCTTTTTGCCAGTGCATTTTCTGCTAGCAAGCGGAGTCCTTTTTCTCACCCCTCTTTTGGTTTTTTTGGTGAGACTCTGGGCACCTTTTTATGTGATCATAGGCTCTTCAGATGTTCCTTTTTGGGACCTGGGTCCCTCTGAGCGAGAAGAGCTCGTCACATCCTGTAACCGCAAGAACTTCAGCTTTTTTCCCTCCCCGCTTTTTCTTCACCACAACACATGGCGGCTGTGATGTGGAAATGTACAGAAGAGACATTCGATCATATATGTGAGCCTTTAAGGACAAAAATGATGACACAAAAGAAGCATGCACCACAAAAATTGCACCGCCCGAGAAGGATAACCGAGCATTGGCTCAAATTGGTTTTGCAAGGCAAATACTAGAACAAGAATAACCAAGAAATCTGTAACTAGGATACCAGCTTCATACCAGATGCTGTCTGATTCTGGATGCTAAGCAGGGTCAGCCCTGGTTGGCACTTGGATGGGGGACCGCCAACTAATCCCGGGTTTCGTAAGCATTCTTTCAGAGGAAGCAATTGACCAAAGCACCTCTGAATATTCCTTACCTTTAAAAAACCCTATGGACTTTATAAGGTCGCCATAGATCAGTGTTTCTCAACCTGGGGGTCGGGACCCCTGGGGGGGTCGCGGGGGGTGTCAGAGGGGTCGCCAAAGACCATCAGAAAATGCAGTATTTTTCTGTTGGTTGTGAGGGTTCAGCATGGGAAGCTTGGCCCAATTCTCTCGTTGGTGAGGTTCAGAATGCTCTGTGATAATAGCTGAACTATAAATCCCAGCAACTACAACTCCCAAATGTCAAGCTTTATTTCTTCCAAACTCCACCACTGTTCACATTTGGGCATATTGAGAATTTGTGACAATATTTTGTCCAGATCCATCATTGTCTGAGCCCACAGTGCTCTCTGGAGGTTGGTGAACTATAACTCCCAAACTCAAGGTCAATACCCACCGAACCCTTCCAGTATTTTCTGTAGGTTATGTGTGCCAAGGTTGGTTCAATTCCATTGTTGGTGGAGTTCAGAATGCTCTTTGATTTTAGGTGAACTATAAGTCACAGAAACTACAACTCCCAAGTGACAAAATCAATCCCCCCAACCCCACATATCGGGTATTTGTACACAATTTGGTCCAGTGAATGAAAATACACTCTGCATGTCAGATATTTACATTACGATTCACTACAGTAGAAAAATTACAGTTATGAAGTAGGAATGAAAATAATGTTATGGTTAAATAATGTCATGAGGAACTGGATTAAGGGGTCGCGGCATTAGGAAGGTTGAGAAACACTGCCATAGATCAACAGGTGACTTGAAGGCACGTAACACAATTTTTGTTCCTTGGTTCTAAATGTCATTTCATAATTGCTTCTATCATATTGACATGGAAACTCCTTGGCTGACTTTGGGCAAGTCACACTCTCTCAGCCTCAGAAGAAGGCAATGGCCTGGGAGGAAAGCTTAGGATACAGTCAGCATAGGTTAGAACTGCTTTCACGGTAGATAATAACATTTTGTCTTCACTGAGGGCATGATCACACTGTGTGGTTATTTATTTATTATTTATTTATTTTACAGTATTTATATTCTGCCTTTCTCACCCCGCAGGGGACACAGGGCGGATTACAGTGTGCACATATATGGCAAACATTCAATGCCAATTTTTGACATACCAACATATACAGACATACACAGAGGCTATTTAACTTTTTCTGGCCTCCAGGGGAGCTGTCGCTTTTCATTGTCTATCTGCGACGCTGATGAAGCACTTCCGCATTCCCCGCATGCTTCCCCGCTGGAATGCTTTGCTGGAATTTTCTTTATGGCCTCATAAATCAGTTAATTTAGCCTCCCCACACTTTAAGGTGGTACCTTATTTTCCTACTTGACAGATGCAACTGTCTTTCGGGTTGCAAAGGTCGACAACAGGCTACACACAATTGGTTGGAAACCCACTCCAACCTGGGCTGGTTTCGAACTCATGACCTTTTGGTCAGAGTGATCTTAATGCAGCTGACACTCAGCCAGCTGCGCCACAATCCCACACAGTGTGATCGTGTATTCATCCCATTTTTGGCTCAGCCATATTGCACAATGCCTTTGCTCTTCAGCCATTGTCGCATAGGCATGCCACGTCATAACATTATAGGACTTCCTATTGTTGTGCAATTTTAGGTCTACAAAATCCTAAAACATAATCAGGGAGTCTGTTTTGTCAGATATGGAAAGGTGAAACCGCAGGCCCCAATCCCGGAAAGTACAGATGCCATACTGTATTGATCTGTCTGCATATTATAACCAATTATTCTGCCTAATCCATCTGCCTATTTATGACCAATTCAACCATTAATCCTTCTTTGTATTACTGTATATACAAAATTTACAACACCAGGCAATCTCCATTGAAGGAACCTAGTGATCAGTAGCAGGAGATGGGAAGGACCTCCTGGATGGTTGGATCTATGCTGCCATATAGTACAGTTTGGAACAGAATTATATGGCAGTTGAACGGCACTGAATTACATTATATGTCAGTGTAGATCCAAGTGTAGTTTAACTACATTGAACTGCATTATATCATAGTATAGACCAGGTATAGACCAGATGCAGCCCCTTGGTCTCTTTTCTGAAGTCATCCTCCCACTCACCATCTTATTCTTCCTTCCCTCCTTCTCTTTTCCCTTCCTCCTTTCCTTTTCTTCTCTTCCACCATTTCGTCCTTCCCTCCCTCTTGTCTTCCCTTCCTTCTCTCTTTATTTCCTCATTACCACCCTCCCTTCCATCCCTCTTTCTCCTTCCATTCTTTTCTTCCATCCTTTCCTTCTACCCTTTTTGTCCTTCCTTCCCTCTTTCCTCCCTCTCTCCCGCTTTCTCCTTCCTTTCTTACCTTTTGTCTTTCTTTCCTTCTCTCTTTCCTTTATCCTTCCTTCCTTCCTTCCTTCCTTCCTTCCTTCCTTCCTTCCTTCCTTCTTTGTATTTCCTTCCTTCTCTCTTTCCTCCCTCCTTCCCTTTCTCCCTCTTTCTCCTTCCATCCTTCCCTTCCACCCTTTCATCCTTCCTTCTCTCTCCCCCCCCTTTCTCCTTCCTGCCTTCCTTTCTTCCTTCCATCCTTCCTTCCTTCCTTGTTATCTTTCTTTCCTTCTGTCTTTCCTTTATCCATCCCTTCCTTCTTTCCATGATTCTCTTTATCCCTTTCTTCCTTCCTTCTCTTTTTCTTCCTCCTTCCCTTCCACTGGTTCATCCTTCCTTCCTTCCTTACCTTTTATCTTTCCTTCCTTCTCTCTTTCCTCCCTCCTTCCCTCTCTCCCTCTTTCTCCTTACTTTCATCCTTCCTTCCATCATTCTCTTCATCCCTTTCTTCCTTCTCTTTTTCCTTCCTTCCAGCCTTCTCTTCCACCATTTCATCCTTCCTTCCTCCCTCCCTCCCTCTTTTTTTCTCTTTCCTTCCTTTCCTCTTTCCTCCCTCCTTCCCCCTCCCTCTTTCTCCTTCCTTCCTTCCTTCCTTCCATCCGTCCTTCTTTCTCTCTTTCCTTCCTCATTCCATTCCTTCCATCACTGGGCAGCCATTCCTCCCAGTAAGGAGTGTGAGCATGCAGCCTCCAAGTGAGAAAGTTTGCCCCTGCCTGGTATAGACCCAGCCATTCTTTGTCCAGGTGCATTTTTGGAAACTATAGAAAAACAGGCTTGTTTTTAAGACAGCAATTTGCAATGGATAATATTTCCACCAGATGACAAAACTGACCCAGCAACGCATTTCAAAACAGAAAAGTGGGGAGGGTGGGCTGCTTGTGGGGCCTCTCTTCTTTCTTTAGCCTCTTAACAGGAATCTCAACTCCCTGGGGTCACTCTGTCAGAAACCAGGAGGAAACACCTGCCGCGGGCTTCATACCCCATTGGCCAGCCTTTTTCGGTTTTGTTTACGCATGGTAATATGTAACGTTTCCTATAAGAGAAGATGGGACTCTGAGCAGAGCAACGGGGTGCATCTACACCAGGCATAGTCCAACTTTGGCTCTTTCTCCAGGTGTTTTGGACTCCAACTCCCACCATTCCTAACAGCCTCAGGCCCCTTCCTTTTCACCTTCAGACACTTAAGCTAATTGTATTTTGAAAGAAGATCATGGGGAGCCTGAGAAACCCTGTGGCAGGCTCTCATCTTTATTGTTGTGTGTGTGTGTGTGTTTGTGTGTGTGTGTAGGCCTTCCAAGTGTTGCCAGCTCTGGCATGGAATCGCTGCTTCGCCTCCTCTTGACTTCCTCTGATAATAATTCGCCCTGCTTCTGTATGCGCTGCGTTTCCAAAAAGGAGGCACGGATAACATTCCTTTCCGGTTGTTGTTTGCCAAAGACCCGTGTTGCCGAAACAAAGCAAAGGCCTCTTTTTCCTGCAGGAACACGCTCCAAAGAAAGCGGTGTGTTTGTCATGAGAAAGAGGGAACATTCGTAACCATTGCCTTTGGTTTGCTCAGGGAGAGGCTGTGACCTGGAGTCACTGGTGGAGCCCATGAGCCATCCTTGCAAGGAGAGTTTCATATTACTCCAGGAGACTTGGAGAAGTGAGGTGCATTTGCACCAGGCAAGGGCTAACTTGGGCTCTCCAGGTGTTTTGGACTCCAACTCCCACCATTCCTAACAGCCTCAGGCACCTTCCTTTTCCTTTAAGCGGCTGAGGGGGAAAAGGAAAAGGCCTGAGGCTGTTTAAGGAGCTCCACTGGCTGCCGTTCATTTTCCAGTCCCAATTCAAGGTGCAGGTGCTTACCTACAAAGCCCTAAATGGTTTGGGACCCGCCTACCTGCATGACTGCATCACTGTGTACAAACCCACGCGATCATCTGGAGAGGCCTCGCTCGTGCTTCTGCCTCCATCGCAAGCGCGATTGGCGGGGACGAGGGACAGGGCCTCCTCGGTGGTGGCCCCTCGACTCTGGAATTCATTTCCCAAGAACATTAAACATGCCCCAAAGCTGGCAGTCTTTAGGAGAAGCCTGAAAACGTGGTTGTTCCAGTGTGCCTTCCCAGAATAAGGAAAACTCTTAGCAATATGTCCTCAAATGCACTTTAATATTGATTTAGGATTGTCTGCGCTCCCTCATCTTTCTCTGAAAACCCTATCCTAGTTTACCTTACCTTGTTCATGCCCAGCATTTTAAATTTTTATTATTGCATTTGGCCATTGACTTTTAAATGCTGTATGTATTTTACTGTGTATTTTTTGTTTTTGGGTTTTATTTTTATTTATTTT